TGAAGGAGTCTTGACTCAGTGCAAACAGCTCCACTGTGATGCATCAAGGCTCTGAGGTGGCGTTGGGTACAGTGGCACTGGGGCCAGGCAAACCAGTTTTCAGTGTTTGGAGGAAAGGGAACATGCACTCCCTGAGCCAGAGGGCACCTGACTTATATAGACAGAACGATCCGCCCCTGGTCCATGATTGGTCCATTCTCATGCAAATGAGGACTCCAAATCCTCACAGTTTGATTGGTCCAAAAGGCATTGTCCTGATTGGTCAGAATAAAGCCACTCTGATTGATTGGTGATGCTGCTGCTAGGGATCTAGCTGGGCGGCTCTGATTGGATGGGGAAAGCCTTGGTCCTATTGGTTGAAATACAATTCCAGGAGCTCCTTTATAAGGGCTGGCTCAGATGGCAGGGACGCAGTCAAGGCAGGCAGTTCAGTGCTGGCTTCTCTCTGAAGTGGCTTGTGTGGGAGGCCCCGGTTTAGAAATGCCTGCTGGGCTCTGCTTTTTAATATCGAGCCCAGTTAGCCACCTGGAGCCCTTCTCATTAGGTATCTTTTCCCCTCAGGGTTCACATGATAGGATTATTTCACTTAATTCTCATCACACTCCTAAAAGGTAATGAGTATTCCACTTATAGAAGAGAATACTGAGGCCCGAGAGAGGTTGACTAACTTGTCTATGGCCATAGCTATGTTGATATAAGAATTTCCAAATCTGTAGAGACTTTTATAAAAGTTTATTTGAGCCAAACATGAGATGCCTGGAAGCAAGATCTCAACAGACTGAGAAAACACTTCTTATAATAGCACTCCAGAGCTGCTGCTTCTTCTTCTTCCTTTTTTTTTGTATTTAGAGTTGAGGGAATGTAAAGATTATATGAAGGTAGGAAAAAGCAAGACAGGGATTGTATTACAGGATTGCTTCGGCCCCCTTAAGCTGATATCTTTTTTAGGTAAACCTCTCCATTTCTGTAGGTACTTGCATGTCAAAGGGCCATAGGAATTGCACTCTGGCTGTTGTGGGGTTGGTCAGACCTGGAGGTGTTATGAGTGGGGTGCCCTCTGTGTCCCCACCTGGTACTGGTAGAAGCGGAGTTCTTGAGGTGCCGTGGGGAAAGGAATTTCCTGAGGCCTCCTATGGAAGGATGAGGTATCGTGGAAAGCTTTTATTTTGGTGGAATTAAACCTTTGGGTTTCCAAGGTCCTGTGACCTCCTCCATCTTGCCATGGAGAAAGTCCAGCCTTGTCGTCAGCGGGGCTAGAATCAAAGTCACGTGGCTACGGAGGTGTACGGGTGAGTGTGGGTCATACAGCAAGCGAGAAGCAGGAGGGCAGGGGCCAACAAGCAAGAGAGGAAGAGTCCCTTGGCTCGGGGTTATAACCAGGAGCTCAGCCAATGAGCCCTTCAGGATTTCATGTGCTCGCAATGGCTCCACCCTGCTCGGCAATTATTTCCGCGCCCAGGTTAGGCTGACAGACAGGTACCTTCTCCACGTCACCCCAACTTCACCGTGCATGCACCCATCTCCCTTCCCACAGTGATTTGCAGGGAATGGGCTTGTCGTTCCCTGGGGAGCGTGAAACCGCGGGTCCCTGGTGAAGCTCCCCAAATGACCATGCTTACCATGTCTGGCCTCCCCTTCGCTCTCCTCCTATTTTAATATTAGCTAGCTAATTATGATCGTAGCAGAAGCACGATCACCTGCTAATTTTGATCTTCCTTTTGAGCTGCTGAACTTAAGAGCAGCCCCGTCAGAACAGCTCACACACAGTCAGGGACTGCTACCCCAAGCAGGTACGCTCCTGGATTCTGAGAGAAGACTCTCCCAGGTTTATCCAATGAGAAGCTGGGAGCCAGTGGAACTCAAGGTGCCCTGCGGGTACCTAGCAGGGAGCCTGGGGCTGCCGTGGGCCAGCCTGAGCTTCTTTTGAATCCTGCCGACTACGTCAAGTAAATGTCCATGTGAGACTGTCCAAAGTGTGAGAGATTTTTATAAAGATTTATTTGGGTCAAACAGAGGCTACTTCTGGAGGCAAGATCTTGACACACCGAGGTGGAATGCTTCCTGGAAATGACTCTTTGCAGCTTCTTTGGTGCATTTGGAATGAGGGAGGGAATGTAAGGACGATCACGGGAAGGTGGGAGAGAGCGAGGCAGGGATGGGATTACAGGAACTTTCTGGTTACATGCTCTCTTGAGGCTGGTCACACTTGAGAAGCAGGGGTTGGAAAGCGTGGCCACTCATTAATTAGAAGGAGAGGGAGGTCTGCGAGGGAGCAGCTCAAAAGTGTGCTAACCTAGATGCACATAAACAGTGGACAAGGCTTGCTGAAGGCCAAGATAATAAGCCTTTTCCTGAAGACGTTATATGTCTGGGGTGTGACTGCCTTTGACGACCTGCCCAGTTGAGAATCCACCATCACATCGCCCTGTGAGGGTACTCTTCCTCGAACTCCTTTTTTGTCCACACATTTCATGAGGAGGAGACAGACCATAGAGCAGTGGTTCTCAACCTTCCTAGTGCCGCGATCCTTTCATCCAGTTCCTCATGTTGTGGTGACCCCCAATTTCATTGTTTCAAGTTGAACATCATTAAAGCATAGCGATTCATCACAAAAACAATATGTCATTATATATGTGTTTCCCGATGGTCTTAGGCGACCCTGTGAAAGGGTCGTTTGACCCCCAAGGGGGTCGTGACCCACAGGTTGAGAACCGCTGGACTAGACACACGCATTCAAGGGCTGAGCTCTCTGAAGAAGGAAGGGGCATGATGGGAAAAAGAGCAGTTGGGAGGCCCTGGAGGCGGGATTCAAAGGTATTTACTTAGCATGGCACTGAAGTCCCAGGGGGTTATGTTTCTTGTTCTTCCACATCTATAATAATAAAGGCATAATATGCTAATTAGACTGGACGTCCTTCAGGACGACCTTCAGACAAAGCTGGGGCTTCGAGAGGGCCGAGGCAGCTGCCGGGGCTGCCAAGGCCTACTCTTGCACGAATTTCGTGCATCAGACCTCTAGTTGCTCCATAATCCCTTTTGAAAAATTCTGGCTTGAAACATATTTACTCATGTGCTTTCACACACGCACACACATGCACGTACATGGAAAGAGTCTATCTCCCTTATTTTTGGTTATGCACAATACCTGAGTCATAGAAAAGAACTAATTAGCTCTAGGGACGTGTCAAATGGGTCGACTGTAATGATAACTAGTCACTTGAGAATTAAGGGCTGAGGTTTCCTAGGTGTTTGGTTCCAATTAGGTTTAGGCAAGCTGAAGTTCTATAGGGAAAAAAGATCCTTTATTTCCCCCTCAAAAAACATCTTGGGAGACCAAAGAATGTTCTTTATTAGTGACTTAAAGGAATGGAGAAAACAGGGGCCTCTTGCCCTGCATGGTCATGCTACAGATCCAAGGGAGATTTAAAATTAGTCTTGTTTCACAAACAAAAATAGGAAGAGGCATGAAAATTGCATTACTGGGGTCTTGACAGAGCTATTTATTATACATCTGAAATTTAGTTGTAACTAAACTATAGACCTGGGCCTGGTTTTGCATAGCCCTAAGCTAAGAATGCCTTTAAAAAAATATTTTTAGCCCTAGCTGGTTTGGCTCAGTGGATAGAGCTTCGGCCTACAGACTGAAGGGTCCCAGGTTCGGTTCCGGTCAAGGGCGTGCATCTTGGTTTCGGGCACATCCCCAGTAGGGAGTGTGCAGGAGGCAGCTGATCGATGTTTCTCTCTCATCGATGTTTCTAATTCTCTATCCCTCTCTCTTCTTCTCGGTAAAAGATCGATAAAAATATATTTTAAAAAATATTTTTATTGATTTCAGAGAGGAAGGGAGAGAACGGTAGAAACATCATTGATGAGAGAGAATCATTGATCAGATGCCTCCTGCATGCCCAGCATTGGGGATCGAGCCCACAACCCAGGCATGTGCCCTGACCGGGAGTCGAACCCTGACCTCCTGGTTTATAGGTTGATGCTCAACCACTGAGCCATGCTGGCCGGGCTAAGAATACTGTTACATGTTCAAAGTTGCTAAAAACAAAACAGAATATGTAACAGAGATTTTAAGATGTTTACGTGGCCTTCAAAGCCTATGTTACTTACCATCTGGCCTTTTACAGAAAGTTTGCATGCAGAGCCCGGTAGAAGTTGGTCTTTCCTTGCCAGTTCTGACCGCGATGTGAATGAGTCTTTGTCACAGGATCACATGGCGTTCATTCAGAAATCCTGAAAGTCTTTACCGAGGCTTCTCATATGCAGGAGGCCAGGTGTGCCGGATGCTCGCTGGCTGTCAGAGGGCTTAGGTTTTAGTCAGGGGGGTAAACATTTAACAAATTGCACAGATAATTAATTAAAATAATGAAGTGCGCCAAGGAGTTCTGAAGGCTATTTTGGTTTTAATAAGTGGTTTTAATCTAAATTTGAAGAATAACTTTCCTGCCTAGCCGGTGCGACTCAGTGGTTAAGCGTTGACCTAGGAACCAGGAGGTCACGGTTCGATTCCCGGTCAGGGCACATGCCTGGGTTGCGGGCTCGATCCCCAGTGTGGGGCGTGCAGGAGACAGCCGATCCATGATTCTCTCTCATCATTGATGTTTCTATCTCTCTCTCCCTCTCCCTTCCACTCTGAAATCAATAAAAAAAAGAAATAGCTTGAGCTATAATTCATAATAATAAAGTTCACCCTTTAAAAAAAAAAAGGCTGGCCTTCTTGAGATGGGAGAAGATGCGTGGCCCCCCGTAAGGCCCATCCTCTTTGGGGGCAGGAGGCAAGTGGGGGGCCGGGAGGGGAAACCACAGCTGCCCTTTCCCACGTGGTAACCCGGCCTCAGACTGTGTTCCGCGAGTTTGGGAGGCTGCTCTCTGCCACGTCCGTCGCCTTGGCAGCCGTGTTGCTCCCTGGCTGTGTTTACCGTCCCCTGTCCCCCGGGAGGCCTCCGAGGCAGGTGACCTGTCAGGGCTCCTCTCATCGCCCTGTGTCCTCGCAGGGCGGACGCTGTTGGAGAAGCTGTTCAGCCAGCAGGAGAACGGGCCCCCCGAAGAGGCAGAGAAGTTCTGCTCCCGCATCATCGCCATGGGCCTCCTCCTGCCTTTCAGCGACTGCTTCCGGGAGCCGTGTCACCAGAACGCCCCGTCGAGCTCAGCTCCGTTTGATGTGAGTAGACGCCCGTCCCTCCCTCCCGTCCAGGGGGCAGGTGGCCGTCCAGGGGGCAGCTGTGATGTGGGCCTGCCCATCACCCGGTCACGATAACCTCCATGCGGTGCCGCCTTCCTCCCCAGCCTCTCACCGGCTCAATGTGTCTGTGTCCATGCTTTCTTTTCTCACTAGGGTTTCCTTTTTAAATTAAATTATATTTAATTTTTAAAATATATTTCTATTGATTCCAGAGAGGAAGGGAGAGAGAGAGAGAGAGAAACATCAGTGATGAGAGAGAATCATGGATCGGCTGCCTCCTGCACGCCCCCTACTGGGGATCGAGCCGCAACCGGGGCACATGCCCCTGATCAGAATCAAACCCGGGACCCTTCAGTCCGCAGGCCGATGCTCTATCCTCTGAGCCAAACCAGCTAGGGCAGGGTATCCTTTTTAAAAAAACGTTATTTTCCAATGACAGTTTGCATTCAAGATGATTTTGTATTAGTTTCAAGGGTACCACATAGTGGGTAGGCAGTCATCCGCTTTTACAAGGGTTCCCCCTGGCACTGCCAGTGCCCACCTGGCCCCATGCAGTTATTGCAATGTTGTTGCCTGTACTAATTCCCTGTGCTGTTCTTTATTTTCATCCCTGGGACTATTCTGTTACTACCAATTTGTACTTTTTTTTTCTTCCAGTTTGTACTTAAAAATTATTATTATTTGTAATCCTCACCCGAAGATATGTTTTTATTGGTTTTAGAGAGAGAGGAAGGGAGAGGGAGAGAGAGAAACATCCATGGGTTGCCTCCTGCATGTGCCCCACCCGGAGATCAAACCCACACCCTGAGAATATGCCCTGACCAGGAATCAGATTCATCCATGACCCTTGGGTGCATGGGATGATGCTCCAACCCCCTGAGCCACACTGGCCAGGACCCCGATTGGTACTTCTTTTTTTTTTTGTTAATCCTCACCGAGGATATTTTTAGAGAGAGTGGAACACACACACACACACACACACACACACACACATCATTTGGCTCGCACGTGCCTGGACTGGTCTGGGAATTGAGCCCTTGACTCTGGGGTGCATAGGCTAACACTCTACCACAGAGCCACACCCGCCAAGGCCGACTCTGTACTTCTCAATCCCTTCACCTTATACACCCAGCCCCCCCCCAAGTCTCCCCTCCTCTGGCAACTATCAGTCTGTTTCTATTTGGTTTGCTCATTTATTTGGCTCTTGAGGTGCCACATAGACGCGAAATCATCCGCCATTTGCTTGTCTCTCGCCGACTTATTTCACTTAGCGCCATAGCTGCCAGGTCCATCCCTGCTGTCGCAAAGGTGAGAATTTTAGAGTCTTCTTAAATACCTTCGCCAAGCTCCTTTCCTTAGCAGAGGGCCACTCTTGACCGGTAGCTAGCCTGCTTTCGTCAGTATCTCTGACGTTGCTGGTCACGGACATCCCTGCAGGAGCAGCTCCGCGGGGCCAGAATCTCGTTCCCAGGGGCCGCAGGTCTCCGTGGGCCCTCGGAGACCATTTCACTGCGTTCGTTACTCATCTGTGTACAAACTATTGACATGATGCGGCGTTGCCTGCTTCCTACTCCAGCTGCCAGTCTCCAGGAGTTAAGACTGTGGAACCGTAATCCACAAGGCCTATTCGTAATTCATGACGAGTATCGGCGTTGTTGGATTGGGTTAGCATTTTCCAGCTAGAGTGTGGAAAATGCTAATCTGTCTTAGGTGTGTGGTGCATGTACTGCATTGGTTGTGATGAGTCCATGGTACATGGATTTATCCTAAGAACAGTCAGGGTCCGGTTAGCTCTGTGCAGAGTTGTTTGTGAGGCAGAGTGCTCATCCGGGCGGGTTAGCCCCATTGCTTCCACCCCTACCCCCTACTCTTACCGACTTCTTCACTGTATGTGCTTTAAATATATGTATGTATTTATATTTAAATATATGTATGGTGTGATGGCCGCACCAGTCAGGTTTATTTATCTTTACACGATTCTTAGTTAAAAGGGGGCATTTTTACTCCAATTTTATTTTTAGTGATAAAATAGATTTATTTCATAAAGAATATAAGAAGTGGATACGTATCAAGATGTTGCAACTTGCCCGGCCGGCGTGGCTCAGTGGTTGAGCATCAACCAATGAACCAGGAGGTCAGGGTTTGATTCCCGATCGGGGCACATTGCTGGGGTTGTGGGCTCGATCCCCAGTGGGGGGCGTGCAGGAGGCAGCTGATCCATGGTTCTCTCTCATCATTGATGTTTCTGTCTCTCTCTCCCTCTCCCTTCCTCTCTGAAATCTCTGCTGTTCGGTCTAATTAGCATATTAGCTCTTTATTGTATAAGATATTTTAAAAACTGTTATTTCTTTGGACTCCACCACATTTTTATTTCTACAATATGTAGTCATTTGTCCCAGTTTTCCACTCAGGGAATGGTGTGTGACTGGGTCCTGAAGTAACCGGTAGCCAAGTTTTCATATAAAGGCGTGTAAGCTTGTGTGTTTTGAGATTATTTTATTTCCCACTGTACCATGTGACCTAGTAAATTTCTAAAATGTGCTACCTTTTGCATATTTTATTTTAGAAGACAAAGCAGGCGATTTCCTACCCATTGTTCTGAATTCAAGAGGATTGTTGCGAAAGTAGTGGGGTTCTGATTGTTATTCTACCACCACAGAGTTTTCTGAGCTTAGAAGAAATGCTGCCAGTACTTTTGTGGATTTTTAGACTCATTCCCAACCCTAAAGTGAATGGACGTTTAGAAAAATTGGTTTTTAAAAAACACATTTTTTAAGGCAGTCACACGTTTTAAGGCCATGGCATAACATTCTTCTTCGTGATATGTTTTAGCTTTCAGAACTTGGCAAACAGCGTTGGGTGACTCAGAATTCACTTTCAATCCATAGGATGGACTTTTATTAAAACCGGCGCCTCAGCCCAACTCCCAACTTTCCTCGCCATGGTTTTTCTTACCCGTCTCCTGAATATGCGTTGAATATTAATTAGTCTGTTGATGTGACTTGAATTTCCTGTGACCTTCCTTGTCTCTTCGCAAGAGCCAGGAGAAGAGTAGAATTGTGAGTCCCTGCAAAGTGGAGGTACCTTGGACCAAGCAAACATCACCCAGCCAGGAGCTTAGGGGTTATATCTTTCTCCCAATTTTTATAGCACTATGAAAACCTGAATGATTTATTCCCTTTAAAAAAATATTTTTATTGATTTCAGAGAGGAAGGGAGAGGGAGAGACAGATAGAAACATCCATGATGAGAGAGAATCATAGATCGGCTGCCTCCTGCACGCCCCACACTGGGGATTGAGCCCGAAACCCGGGCATGTGCCCTGAGAGGGAATCGAACTGTGACCTCCTGGTTCATAGGTCGACCCTCAACCACTGAGCCCCACCAGCCACTGGAGGATTTAAGTGGGAGAGTACAGTGTGATCAGATCCATGATTCAGATAGAGCATTTGGGGTGCATGGAGTATGGACTGGGGGTGCTCTATGGGAATGGTTTGGAGGCTAGGAGATTCTGAGGAAGACATGCAGGAAGGGAAGTGGGAATGGGGGATGAAAAAGTGGGATTCTAATGATTCCTGGGTTAGTGATTGGCAAACTCCAGCGGACACTGGGCTCACCTGGAGGACTTGTTAACACCCACATCACTGGCTCCGCCCCCGAGTTTCCGGTTCTGCGGGTCTCAGGTGAAGTTGATGCTGCTGGACCAGGACCGCACTCAGAGGAGCACTGCTTTGGGAGATGGGAGTGAGCCGGATCCGGGGCTTGATGGATGCGCATGAAGGTGAGGGACAGGGCAGACGCAAGGACAGGCCCAGGTTTCCGGCTGGCGTGATGGGGTAGAGGGGATGCTACCTACTGTGTACAAAACAGGAGGAGCAGGTTGAGAGGATGGTTCAATGTAGGTCTTGCTGGACCTGAGCATCTGAAAGACGTGCGGAAGGGATTGGTCATTTGCATCCAGGGGCTGGGGGAGAGATGGAGGACTTCAGCGTGCAGATGACACCTGAGGCCATTGGGCGCCAGTAGAGTGAGGAGCAAGAAGCGCCCGACATGCAGATGGACATTTAGGGGAAAGTGAATGGAGTGTGTGTGTGTGTGTGTGTGTGTGTGTGTGTGGCTTGAAGGAGACAGATCAAGAGTGGTTAAAGAGGTAGAACAGAAGAAAAGACGAAAAAAGTGCTATGTCAAGTGTTGTCAAGAGGTCAAGGAAGATTCAGACCGAAAAGTAGTCATTGAATTTACCCGAAGTCATTGTCAATAACCTTGTAGAGAGGGAGTTGAGTGGGTGCCGTGGGCGCTGTCTGAATGGGAGGGCGAGGGTGTCGGTGAGGAGATGTAACGTTCTGTCCTAAGGGCTTTCCAGATGTTAATTCATCTGCTCGCGGTGGCATCGGTGCAGGTGGTTTTGTGTCGGGAGAACGAAACAGGGTGGGTTCTTGTGAGGAATGGAAGCTCATTTCTGCTTCTGTTTTGTCTCTTTTTGTTAAAGCACGTGGAGGTGCGGGTGGGAGGGATTCAGTCAGAAGGAGATGTTGAAAGTTGGGGAGAGAATCCAGACTGTTCTGCCCTGAGAAAGCGGGAAGGGATGGGGTGCTGGCCCAGGTGGGGGTTGGCCTGGGACCGGAGCAGGGACACCTGGGTGAACACAGACGTGGGAGGGAGGGTCCAGAGGGATGGGGGCGGGCTCCTTCAGGTGCATGCTGGGAAGGTGAGGCAGTGCTGCTGGCGGCGTCCTCCTCGGTGAACCAGGAGGTGCCACCTTCTGCACTGGGTGAGTGAGGGGTACGGGAGGCCGGGTGTTTAAGAGGTAGAGGATGTTTCATTTGGGCACCACAAGAACGGGACTGAGAGCTGAGTGGAATGACGGAGGGACGCTGCGGAGGGCAGCGGCGTGGACGGTCATGGCTGTGTCCCAGCACTAGGGATGGCGAAGGTAAAACTTTGCACGGATCTCAGGTTGGCGTTTTTGCCCAGGTGGATACATCTTTTTTTAAAAAATATATATATATATTTATAGATTTTAGAAAGGAAGGGAGAGGGAGAGAGAGAGATAGAAACATCAATGATGAGAATCATTGATGGGTTGGCTCCTGACATCCCACACTGGGGATGGAGCCCGCAGCCCAGGCCTGTGCCCTGAGCGGGAATCGAACCGTGACCTCCTGGTTCCTAGGTTGATGCTCAACCACTGAGCCAGGCCAGGTGCGTGGGCCGTGATGGTTAGTGAGGGTGAGAGTTGAGGATGTTGGTGTGGGAGTGGAGGAACGGGCGGGCTACCAGCTAGAAGACCAGACCAGAGGGCGTGGGTGGTGGAAAGCAGGGGAGGGAGGACTTGCAAGTCCGGAGGAGGAGAAGGTTGAGAGAGGATGCCGACATGTACTTTCCTTGACAGGTAAAGTGGGTTTTGGTGATGACGTGGTGGAGAGTGTAGCCAGGTGAGTGGGCGGCTGCCTGACGTAAGGTGAAGGTCAGATCGCCTTCTGATGTGAAAGCTGAGCCCAGGAGAGGGCAACCTGCCCCTCAAATGGTTCTGTGAGCCCTGGCCCACGTGACCCAGTTGGTCTTCCTATGAACTGAGAGGTTGCTGGTTGAATTCCTGGTCAGAGCGAACGCCCGGGTTGCAGGCTTGATCCCCAGAAGCGGGCAGGTAGGAGGCAGCCGATCGAGGTTTCTCCGTCTCCCTCTTCCTTCCTCTCTCTCTCTCTCAAAATAAAAATAAATAAATAAAAATATTTAACTATATATTTTTTTGATGTCAGAGAGGAAGGGAGAGGGAGAGAGAGAGAAACATCAATGATGAGATCATCATGGATCGGCTGCCTCCTGCACGCCCCACACTGGGGATCGATCGGCGCAACCCGGGCATGTGGCCCTGACCGGAATCGAACCCGGGACCCTTCAGTCCAAAGGCCGGCGCTCTATCCACTGAGCCACACCAGCTGGGGCCATAAAGAAAACGATTTTAAAAATAGTTTTGTAAGCAGCAGGCATGGGATTCAAACCCAGGAAGGCTGACTCCAGAGCTCGCGTCTTTTCTTCCATCTCTCACTGAATCCTGTTGATGCAAAGGCGCATCCAGACACCCCAGACACATCCAGGCACTGCCATCACTTCGTGGTGAGCCACCTTCATCCCAAGTCGGGCTCCTTAGCAGCCTGGGGGTTCCATTCTCACCCTCTCCCTGTCCTTCCCCACGAAAAGGGTTGTCATGTTCCACCTGATGCTTTGCTGTTAGGATAGCACCCCAGCTTCACGCACGGCCCAGGAGGCCCTCCGCTGGCCACCTCCTGGCTTCGTCTGTGGCTTCGTCTCATGTTTCTCTCTCCCGCCTGATTTTGCTACCAGGGGAGCTTCCCAGAATTCTTACTAATTCTTGGGCTCCAGTGTCAGAGTCGGATGGACTGGGTGTGAGGTTGGACCCTGGATACAGGGATATTTGATCAGTGAGGTTTGGGGCAGCCTGGCTCTAGAGAACGTGTTCTGTGGGTGTTAGTTGTGGCTTAGATGTGGGAGCTGCCCGTGGCCTTTTTCTTGAACTCCAAGGAAGTCCTGTCTTTGAATTCTCAAGAGTTTGTAGCTCCACTGCTGTGCTAGAGCTAAGCCTAATGATGGAATGTTTTCCCTCGGCTGCTCATTAAGCCTTTGGTTCACTTTTTGTGTGTAATTGAGAAGCTGCTATGGGAGAGAGAGAGAGAGAGAGAGAGAGAGAGAGAGAGAAATTTGGTCCAGGTAGTTAACAGAATCTACAGTGGGACTAATGTTACCTTCCTTTAATTTCTTACAGGAACTCTCTCTGTTGAACTCTTTCATTGTTCTTGTTTGAAAAAAACTTGAGAAATAGAAAATGCAGATATTCAGACCTGGAAATGTAACCGAATGAAACTTACCCTAAAAAAATATTAAATTTAATCCTATTCGATGTTGTAATACCAGGTAAAAATTGCCAGGGATTTTTCTTCCTTTTGCTTCTTCCTTTATATATTTATAAGCATGTTCTTTTGAAATATACTTTTGAAGTACAAGGGGTTGTGGAACATTGAAGTTAGAGAAAATGAAGACAGAATAAAATCAAAGTTTCCAATAACCCTATAGAAAAATTAAAGTTTTTTCCAATAACCTTGTCTATTGGGTATGCATTATAGATTAAGGAGTTACTATGAATGCACATATGGATATAGACAAAATTATTTCTGTAGATTCATTTTTACAGATATTTTGACATCTACTCTTGCCATATATGACAAGTATTTCTGAATTTATTTGTAAGCCGTTTACCTATTTAATTGTACATCAGGTGTTGTACATAAACTAAGAATGTTACATGATTCCATTTCTTTATCCTGTTGATTCTAAGCATTTCTTTTACAGTAAGTTATTCCATTGCAAGTCGATTTTTATTCTCACTTTTTCCCCCAAAGAGCATATTGGGTTGACATTTCCCTCTTCGCATGCCTCTCAGCTCAGCATATCCGCAAATACACCAACCGAGGTGCTGAATTTCAGTCAGAAATAGAACTCAGCCTCTTTTTTTTTGTCATTTCTCCTCATTCATGCCCAGGGATCGAAGGATGAAATGTTTCGCTCTGCCCTCTGCTGGTGACTTCAACGGATGGCAAGGGAATTCACAAAAGACGTAGTGCTCTGTGCCAGAGCGGCCGCAAGATAGTTTAAAATTTCAGCCTCGCCAAATTCATTGTAATAGTTTTTATTTTTAGCGAATTAATGATTAATTTTAATTGTTGTATTGGATATATTGGGGTGACATTGGTCAACACAGTCACGTCTCGGGGGTGCAGTTCCATACTACATCATCTGCACACGGCGCTGTGCGTCCACCACCCCAAATCACGTTTCCCTCTGTTACCACTTGTCCTGCCTTTACCCTCTCCCACCTCCACCCCCTTCCTCTGGCAATCACCACTCTGTTATCTGTCTATGAGTGGTTTTTATTTTTAAAGCTTTTTAAAAAAATATATAATATATTTTATTGATTTTTTACAGAGAGGAAGGGAGAGGGATAGAGAGTTAGAAACATCGATGAGACAGAAACATCGATCAGCTGCCTCCTGCACACCCCCTCCTGGGGATGTGCCCGCAGCCAAGGTACATGCCCTTGACCGGAATCGAACCTGGGACCCTTGAGTCCGCAGGCCGATGCTCTATCCACTGAGCAAACCGGTTAGGGCATGCTTTTTTTTTTCCTTTCTTAATCCCTTTCCCTTTCTCACCCAGCCCCCCAGCCCCCCTCCCCTCTGGGAGCTGTCAGTCTGTTCTCTGTATCTACGAGTCTGTTTCTGTTTTGTTAGTTGAGTCTGCCCGTTCGATTCCACATATAAGTGAAATCATATGGTACTTGTCGTTCTCCGCCTGGCTTGTTTCACTTAGCGTAATACTTTCCAGGCCCATCGGTGATGTCGGAAAGGGTAAAAGGTTCTTCTGTTTTATCACCAAGTAGTATGCCATGGCTCCTGGGGATGGAGCCCGCACCCCGGGCATGTGCCCTCACCAGGAATCGGTGAACCAAGACCTCCTGGTTCACAGGTTGACGCTCAACCACTGAGCCACACCGGTCGGGCGGGTTCATTCATTTTTTTATGGTTTTCCTCCCACACACATCCCAACCTGGACCCAAGATAAGTGGGGTTTCCTGGCCTTTTGTGTCCGTGCAAGGAGGCTGTTCTGGCCTGTGATGCCCACGGTCAGCCTGTCCTAGGCTGGCGCCTCAAGTACTAAACAGGTTTTAAAGGGACATCATCTTCCCATGGATTATGGATGCGAGTCCAGGGAGTCCTCCTGCCTGGATTCTCTGATTTTATCATTCCCTGCAGGCCACGTGGCATCTCCACGTTAAAAGAAACTGTAGATTTTTCTGTAAAAAAAAGAGATGAAGCCTGGCCGGTTTGGCTCAGTGGATAGAGCATCGGCCTGCGGATTGAAGGGTCCCAGGTTCAATTCCGGTCAAGGGCACGTACCTTGGTTGTGGGCACATCCCCAGTAGGGGGTGTGCAAGAGGCAGCTGATCGATGTTTCTAACTCTCTATCCCTCTCCCTTCCTCTCTGTCAAAAAATCAATAAAATATATTTTAAAAAAAGAGATGGAGGCAAGCATGGTTAAGAAAATGAAATGAGTGTGTGAAGGCAGGTGTGTGATGAATCTACATTGGATTGGATAAAATGCTCTTTTCATGTCTTACACAGATGCAGATATTTACAGGGTGGGCGAAAGTAGGTCTACAGTTGTAACACAAATAAATGATACAATAATCTATAATAATAAAAGGGTAATATGCTAATTAGACCGGATGGCCGAACAGCAGAACGACCATCCGGACAACCTTCCCAATGAAGCCGGGGTCGTGAGGGCTGAGCCCCTTGCATGAATTTCATGCAGCGGGCCTCTAGTGAATAAATAAATAATAATCCAAGAATAAACTCTGTGTTTTATCTACGCACAACCGTAAACCTACGAATGCCCACCGCTGCATACGTGCATCCCACATGCACACTTAGGTTAGGAATGATGTTGTAACAGATCAGCCACATGGGTGTCATTTTTTCGGTGGTTGAACGAATAGCTTTCACATGTTCATTTTCATTTTTTAAATCTAGCAAGATCAGCTTTACACCTGGGCTGCCGTTAGCCAGCCCACACACTCCCTGGACTACACGGAAGGGCGGTTTCCCAGGCGAGCCCCGTCTGCGTGGTCACCCCCCGACGCCCCCGATGAAGCGCCCGGGGCCCAGGACGCCGAGCCAGGTAGGCCTGGAATGTTCTGAAGGCGCGTTGTGCGGACTTCAGCGAAGTGAGTCAGCTAAGAAGTGAATGGCTCAGCAGGTATTTTCTGGCCCCAAATAGAAACCAGCACTTGAGAGAAGTCACTACGATTGACGTGTCAGGAGGGCGTAGGCCTAACTAACCCAGTTTTAAAAGGAACGATGTGTGAGTGTCGGTCAGAATACACGTGTCCTCTCCACGGAAAAGCGGTCCTGTACTCGGAATACAAAAGTATAACCAGAGGATAAGCTGGGTGTTTTGGATGCCGATGGTTAAAGATAGATTTCAGTTAGTTTTATTTTCTGATCGAAGAAAGGGGGAAATTGGATCTGTAGGAGATTGATTGCCTTCTTCCTTTCCCACCCAGAATCGCGGCCTCCTGTTTTGGAAACTCTGAAAAATTGCTCAGATGCTGTTCCGCAGGTAAGAAGATATATATATATATATTTTTAAATATATTTTTTATTGATCTCAGAGAGGAAGAGAGAGGGAGAGATAGAAACATCAATGATGAGAACATCATCGATCGGCTGCCTCCTGCGTGCCCCACACTGGGGATCGAGCCCGCAACCCGGGCCTGTGCCCTGACCGGGAATCGAACCGTGACCTCCTGGTTCATAGGTTGAGGCTCCACCACTGAGCCACACCAGCTGCGCTAAAAATTTATTTATACATTCTCCCAACTATGCTTTTGAAAATAACTTGGCGCTAGCAATTACTGAGTAATGAAGAAGTCAGATGAGTGTCTTCTCTCGAGTGTGGTCTAGTAGAAAACAAGAAGACAGACTGGGTTCTAGGCGTAATTCTAGCCCTACTTAGTGTGTACACATACCTGGGCTACTTGGGACACAGTGTTCTTCTCTGTGAAGTTACAGACTTTGGTGATTTTTTGAGGATTTTCCAAGCGTAGAACCATTTCCCTTTTGAAAAGCAGCAGCCCTGCTTCATACACGGTAGTTGTGCGCCCCCTGGAGGAGAAATGAGGATATAACCCGGGTCAGGAACTTCGATTTATAATTCACTGTGCTTTCAAAAAAACGTCATTAGGTTGGTCATTATCTTCAGAGTAAAGACATTCTTAAAAGAGCGTCGTCAAACGGGGTTTCCCGGCGTGTTTTCGTCAGAGCGGAGACCTACATGAGGCTGGGCCCTTGGAGACGTGTGGTGACTCAGCCAATGGCCATTTAATTGATCTAGTGATTAGCCAATCGTGATTAAGATGAAGCAAGATAAAAAGAGGTAAAGAAATACAGTTAGAAATAAGTGAGGAAAATAGAGCCTTCAAAAATATTCTCTCATTGTTTTTCCAGCTCAAACAATTTTTTTGGAGGCCCAACTAAATTGTGATCTGAGATTCTATATTGGATTTTTTCCCCAAATTCTTATTCCCGAGGCATAGCTTCCTGAGTTCTTTGTTGGATATGATAACGCTGATGAAAACTCGGACAAAAAGTCATCTGTCTTATCGATTGCGATAAAGCACGTGCGACAGCGCTGTCTGTATCACGACCCCAGCTGTCGTAATGTAACCTATATATCCACGTGCATAAAATGGTAGTGGTTTTCTGTTTTCCTCGCGCTGTCCACCATGGTAAAATATACTGTCATAAGCAGAACACTCGGTGAGCTGAGTGAGTTCAACACATCTGACGTTACGGCTCAGAAACCCAAGGGTGAAACCGATTGATTTAAATGTCACACCTTCTCTTCTTGTGGTCACTGAAGGGTCTAGGGAGCTGGAAATGTAATTAACTAATGGAGAGGAAAACATTTGTGGGCCATTGAGGATATTTTTTCCATGGATTTCTAGAGAAAGTGGAAGGGAGGGAGGGGGAGGAACAAGGAGAGAGAGAGAGAGAGAATGAATGTGAAAGAGACACATCGATCGGTTGCCTCCCTGGGATCGAACCTGCAACCCAGGTACCTGCCCTTCACTGGTCATCGGACCCATGACCCTTCGGTGTGGGGGCGGATGCTCTAACCACTGAGCCTGCCGGCAAGGGCGCAACAACAAAAAACCAATCACCCAACACTATGCCATTTATAAGAATCAGGCGTCAAGACAGGTTTGAGAGGCATAGAGCCCGATGAGCCGCCCTGGACGTCTTCACTTTGACTCTTAACGTCGGTGGGCCCACTCGTGTCCATGTTACTCACCTTAGCGCTTCACTCCTCTTTTTTTTTTTATTAAAAAAATCCTTTTCTTTTTCCTGTCACTCTCCTTGCCCTTCCCTCCTCGGTCACTAGATGGCAGGTCTGCATCTCTGTAACTGACCCCTGGGGGAGGGGAGGGGAGGGGCGGGGCGGGGAGGGGAGGGGAGGGGAGGGGAGGGGAGGGGAGGGGCGGGGAGGGAGGGAGGGGCGGGGAGGGGAGGGGAGGGGCGGTGTTCAGCGCTGGGCTGCGGGAAGGATGGCGTTTTCAGGTCCCTGCCAGGGGCCTGCGCATCCCTGCGCGGTGATGCTGGGGATGCAGGACCGGCTGGGCTGGGGCATGCGCATGCACCGAGCCAAGAGCATCTCTGCGTTCTTGTCCCGCTGTGCGCGCAGGCACCTGTGCTGCCCTCCGAGCTCCCGGGAGTTATGGAATGAGTTGTGATTGTGCTCTCTCCCTGGAGTTAATAATGCAGAGAGAGCTCCATATCCCTAGGAAAACCATGACTCACGACGCCTTTTCTTAGCTATGGGGGTGGGGGTGTAAGGGGGAGTATGGGCGGGGCGGGGGGGGGGGAGTTGGGGGGGAGCCGGTGGTGTTGCCAGGGAGTCTGATGCTGAAAGCAAATGCAGCTGCTAGCCCTGCCCCCCGGGCTTCGCTGTGGCCCCTGGAATGAGGAAGCTGGGAAGCAAAACTGCATTCTCAGGACCTCGGTTTACCCATTGGTTTACTTTATTTTTTATTGATATCAGAGAGGAAGGGAGAGGGAGAGAGAGAGAGATAGAAACATCAGTGATGAGAGAGAATCATCGATCGGCTGCCTCCTGCACGCCCCCTACTGGGGGATCAAGCCCACAACCCAGGCATGTGCCCTTGACGAGAATCGAACTCGGAACCTTTGAGTCCCTAGGCCGACACTCTATCCACTGAGCCACACCAGCCAGGACTGTATACTGATTGTTTTCATATCAAGTAACATGCTCTGAAAATCTACTGTCTAAAGAATGATTTTATAAAACTGAAATAGGACTGCCTTTCAAGTCAGTTTTTTATTCTTTGGCCCCGGGGTGCGGGCTCGATCCCCAGTGAGGGGCGTGCAGGAGGCAGCTGACCCATGATTCTCTCTCATCATGGATGTTTCTCTCTCTCTCTCTCCCTCTCCCTTCCGCTCTGAAATAAATAAAAAATATTTTAAAAAAGATGTGCTATGATTGCTAGTCATGCGTCCTAGAATGCCAGTCATGGAGCCTTAGAATTTACCAGAACTTGACAATCTGAATATAACTTTCATATAATTAACGAGAAAAATTAATTACACATCTCACTAGCATTTACAAAGTAAATGGCCGCAGTGTTAACTTACCAGTAAGTGGCTTTGATATTCTAGTCTCTGAAAGGATCTTGCTGACATAAAATAATAAAGTTTCAAAGACAAACAAGTTAAGTTTTCGGCAAAAGCTTTCTTTGAGTGTATCTTGGCTTCCTTTCTGACAGTTTTAGACTTAACGTTATGCTAATGTTTTCCTTTTTTTTTTTTCTAGGAATCAGATAATCTTGTATTTAGAGAAATATTTGGGGTGAACATTTTATTTTTTCATGGCAACTTGCATTCTGTGACATGCGAATGTGTAAACAATTTGTGAGAACTAGCCATCACCACCCACGTATAAGATTATACGGGAATGGAGGAATGTTGGCCGACCGATTGTACATGCTGTCCAGCCAGCGCAGATGGCAGCCTCTACCACTTAGAATGGTTTAGACGTTTGAAGTAATACTTTTAAGTACAAATCGTATTGAAATTGGCAACCTGTAAAGTATATTACATTCTGTGTTGACGCTCCATAATAGATGCCTGTTTCCTGCATTTGTAAGGATGTACCCATTAGATCAATTCTGTCCAAAATTACGAAGACACTTTTTTTTTTCCTCTTAGAAATGCATTCATTTTAATTTTTAATAGTGAGAGACATTAGCCTTGGGGAGACGCACACAGTTCCTGGAAACGCCGTGAGAGTCTTTCCGAAAAGTGTAGAAGAGAGAGCAGCAGTCCATTTCTCTCGTGTGGAATGCTCTGAGGAGCTGATGGGCCTCTTGTCAGGTTGTACCCTGAAGGGATGGGAGATTAAGTACCAGGCCCAGGACACCAGGGCGCAGGCTCCCAACCCCAGGTCTTTCCATGGACAGCAGAGCGCCTGGCAGACGCTTCGAGATGAAATCTGGGCTTGTCTGTGGGTGGGCCCTGAGAGGAGGGAGGATGTTTGCTGAAATGGCCAGAGAACAGACAGCATTTTTCTTCCATCATATTGACCATGGAAGTTTTTTGTTTTTTTTTTAATAAACCTCTGGAAAAAATTCTATAGAACCCGTGTAGAAATCAGCTCTTCCTGCTGACAAGCAAGGCAGCCTCTCTAGAGAGTTCTACAGACAGCATCTTGGCGGCGGTGACTTGGTGCTGATAGCCCTGGATAAGGAAGGCCAGATAAGATTCTTTGAAGACTCTTAGCTGCCTTCAGAAGCAGAAACCCTGTGTCCAGCTAACTGCTCTGGAAGAATGGACGGCCAGCTCTCCTTGACAAGCGAGGCCTGTGGTCGGCAAACTGCGGCTCGCAAGCCACATGCGGCTCTTTGGCCCCTTGGGTGTGGCTCTTCCTAAGCCTTAGGAGGACCCTGATTAAGTTCATTACAATGTACCTACCTATATAGTCTAAGTTTAGAAAATTTGGCTCTCAAAAGAAATTTCAATCGTTGTACTGTTGATATTTGGCTCTGTTGACGAATGAGTTTGCCGACCGCTGGGCTAGGCAGGCAGTTCGGATTTGACATGAGCTTCATTGCTGTTTCCCTGGGATGGACAAGGAGGATGGTCACCTTGATTGCGGGCTGGGGTTTTGCAGGTAAAGACAGAGCCGTGGAGAGGAATAAAGATTTTAGAGTTTTGTTCTCTCTACAGTCAGGACTATGTGACAAGCAGCTAGTCTCACCCCCTATTAGCTCTCCATGTTTTCTGTCTATAATAATTATCTCTAGAAAAACAATTCTCTCTCCGAAACCTTCAGAATGGTCAAGAGGCCTCTGGGGAAACTGACGACGTTCTCAAATACTACAAAAGTTGACCATCTTTTTATAAAAGATGTCCTATATCATGGCATGATATGCTTTTTTTTTTTTTTGAAAATCTGCATCAATGAAAATGAACAGGAGTCTTTTTTTTTTTTAAATATATTTTATTGATTTTTTACAGAGAGGAAGGGAGAGAGATAGAGAGTTAGAAACATCGATGAGAGAGAAACATTGATCAGCTGCCTCCTGCACATCCCCCTCTGGGGATATGCCCGCAACCCAGGCACATGCCCCTGACCGGAATCGAACCCGGGACCCCCCAGTCCGCAGGCCGACGCTCTATCCACTGAGCCAAACCGGCTTCGGCAGGAGTCTTTTATTTTTAATCCTTGCCCGAGGATAGGTTTATTGATTTTAGGAAGAGGGAAGGAGAGAGAGAGACAGACAGACGTTGATGTGAAAGGGAAACATCGATCATCGATTAGCTGCCTCCCCGATGTTCCCTGACTGGGTCACTGTTTTTCACTAATGTCTATACAAATATATAAAGTATTTCAATACATAGCTGGGGAAAGCATGCCATATATTCTCTAAGTTGTCCCTGGTCAAAGAAATAACCACAATAAACAATTATTTAAGAAATAAATTAGGTTTCTTTTTAATTTCTTTCAACAACAAGGGTTACTTGAACCATTTAGACATGAGGGTGACCCATACATTGCCTTAGGCAAAACGTTAAAATCAGAGTCAACCTGACATACAGGGCCTGAAACGTGTGCATAAGGTGTATGCTCGTGCCCATAGGGATATCTACAATATTTAAATCTATTTTTTGCTTAATTCCGTCCGTTTTTTTGGAGTATTCCTTACTTTCTATTTAACTATGTCTTTGTTGCCCTCAGGAAGTTGCAGACATTGGATCTGAGGGACAGGCCACTGTGATTCAGCAGCTGGAGCAGACCATTGAGAATCTGAGGACCAAAATAGCTGAACTGGAGAAGCAGTGCCCTGTCATGGACGCAGAGGTGGCCGGCGGCCGCCTTGGGGTTCAGAACGGAGAGGCTCCCTCGGACGATGTCTGTCTTGCAGCTCTCAGGTTAGGAGAAGAGCCTGGCCGGCACCAGAGGATTTTACAGGCCAAGTCCATCCAGACGTCCCCGACCGAGGAGGGCGGGCCACCCACGCGGCCTCCTGCCACGACACTGCCAGAGGGCCCCTCACCGTCCGGACCTCAGACAAAATTCTGCTCAGAGATTTCCCTGCTGGTGTCTCCCAGGCAAATAGTGCAGCTGGATGCCCATCAGCCGGTGCAGCCTCCACCGCCTCCACCCCTGCCCTGGGCTGAGGGTCAAGGCCAGGCCAGGCCACAGTCTTCCCAGCCTTCCCTTCAGACTGAGTTGGACACCAGCCATGAGCAGTCTGTGGCATCGCCCTCTGGACACAGCCTCAGCATCCCGCCCCCACCACCTCTGCCTTGCACAGCGTCTTCTGGCTCCACCTTTGGTGTGGGCACGGGGGCTCCCTCCCCTCCCCCACCCAGTACACCTCCTTCTATGCCTAGTACGCAAATGCTGCCGCCCCCTCCCCCACCTTTGCCTGGTGAAGAAATACCTCCTCCCCCTCCTCTTCCTGGAGTGGGAATACCCCCTCCCCCTCCTCTTCCTGGAGTGGGAATACCCCCTCCCCCTCCTCTTCCTGGGGTGGGGATACCCCCTCCCCCTCCTCTTCCTGGGGTGGGGATACCCCCTCCCCCTCCTCTTCCTGGGGTGGGGATACCCCCTCCCCCACCTCTTCCTGGGGTGGGGATACCCCCACCCCCACCTCTTCCTGGGGTGGGAATACCCCCTCCCCCTCCTCTTCCTGGGGTGGGAATACCCCCTCCCCCACCTCTTCCTGGGGTGGGAATACCCCCTCCCCCACCTCTTCCTGGGGTGGGGATACCCCCTCCCCCACCTCTTCCTGGGGTGGGGATACCCCCTCCCCCACCTCTTCCTGGGGTGGGGATACCCCCTCCCCCACCTCTTCCTGGGATGGGGATACCCCCTCCCCCACCTCTTCCTGGGGTGGGAATACCTCCTCCCCCTCCTCTTCCTGGGGTGGGAATACCTCCTCCTCCTCCTCTTCCTGGACTTGGGGTTCCCCCACCTCCTCCTTTGCCAGGTGTGGGTATCCCACCTGCTCCAGCTCCCCCTCCCGGTCCTGGAACTGGCATCCCCGCAGCCCCACCGCCACCTGCTCTGCTCCCTGGCCCCGGCCCCCCACAAGCCGGGGGCAGCACTTTACCAGCACCACACGCGTGCGGATTTCTCCCCCCGCCGCTGCCCACCGGCTGGTTTGGATTGGGGATGAGCCAGGACAGAGGGAGCAGGAAGCAGCCCATAGAGCCCTGCCGGCCCATGAAGCCTCTGTACTGGACGAGAATCCAGCTGCACAGTAGAAGGTAGCGTGCACGGGGCTCCGCCTGGAGTGGGGACACCCCTCCCCCACCTCTTCTTAATTCCCCCTTTTTCATTCGGAGGATTCCTTATTTTCTATTTAACGCTCTCTCCGTTGCCCTCAGGAAGTTCCAGGGAGGTACTTGCCTTCATCGCTCAGGAAAATGACAATCTAGTGCCCTTTTCAGTACTGTTCTCAAATTTGTAGATTTTTAAAGTCAATATTTAGTGAAACAATCTGCTATTTAAAATTCTACTTTCTCAGAGGTATCAGAAGGATAGAATGAATGGCATGTATGTACCAATGTATACGGTGTACAGATACCTGTCTGACTAGGTATTGGCTGATCTTTTAAAGATGGAGGGGTATAGATTTACTTAGCCTGCCTGCTCTATGGCCTCACTCGGACCCCCGCCTTATCCATGTGAATCAAACCCTTACACGCACGGACTCTCGAGGGTGCTGTTTGCATGTGTTTGGAGGGACGGGCTTGTTGTAAGGTTGCATTTTGTCTACGGCTGTCTTTTTCCACACAAATGTGCTACACAAAAATACACGTACCCACCCCCTGGGTGTGAGGCCTCTCAGCTTTGAGAATTTTATGGCCCTTTCATAGAAGATGGGTGGCACAGCGTGAAGTCTTGAAGTCATAGCTGGGAATCTATAATCATAAAAACGTAATATGCTAATTAGACCGGACAGCCGAACGACCTTCCAGACAACCTTCCGGACGAAGCCGGGCTGCGAGGGTCGAGCCCCTTGCCCGAATTTCATGCATCGGGCCTCTAGTGATATTTATAAAAAAACACCTGCCCCCAGGTATGTGGGTGGCGTGTTACTCATCCATGCACAGTCCATGGACTGTGTCCCCTCGTCCCTGGGACACACGGCTGTGGCATCTGCCGGTCCGAGAAAATATATGCACTTTGCAGGATTCCTTGAATTTGGCTGGTGTGATGTGGTATGGATTCAGAAGTAGGATATTCATCAGGCTCGTTCTCATTTTTTTTTAATGTTTTTACTGATTTGAGAGAGAGGAAGGGAGAGAGAGAGAAACATTGATGTGAGAAACATTGATCGGTTGCCTCCTGCACGCCCCCTACTGGGAATGGAGCCCGCAACCCGGGCATGTGCCCTGACCAGGAATCGAACCAGCGACCTTCGGGTGCATGGGGTGATTGATGCTCAACCAAATGCACCACATGGGCCAGGGCTGTTTTCATTTCTTACATTAATATTTTTTCTCTTTGCTGAATCATACATAGTACTGAAGGGGAAGAATGTATATATTTTGACTACTTCTAACTTGGTCACTAATTCTCTATGTAGTTGCCGTTTACCTGTATATGTGGATGCATCTATTTTAAACTATGCCCCGAACTAATTTTATCCGGATAGAGGAAGTGTTTTTTTCTTTTTCTGTTTAAAAACGAGTCTACCCTTTTCAGATGGTATTCCATGAATCTGTAGCTACTGGGATGTCAGCTAACAGTGGCATGATGGGAAGTGGTAGGGAGATGAGGATGTTGCCTGGATCATGACGTGATTTCTTCTCTCGCCCGGGAATAAGAGTCAAGTTGGGGTTGCGAGATACCAGACATTTCCTGCCTTTATCACCCGCACCGAGAGGGCTTTTATTTCTCTTACTAGAGGCCTGGTGCACGAAATTCATGCACTGGGGGAGGGGTCTCTCAGCCCGGCCTGCACCGTCTTGCAGTCCGGGAGCCCTTGGGGGATGTCCAGGACCCCTTGCTCTTTACCACCCGCCTGGGTGGGAATACCCCCTCCCCCACCTCTTCCTGGGGTGGGAATACCCCCTCCCCCACCTCTTCCTGGGGTGGGAATACCCCCTCCCCCAGCTGCTCCTTGCTTGGCTCGCTGCTCCCTTGCACTGCCGCGGAGGTGGGAGAGGCTCCTGCCACTGCCGCTGAGCTCCCCAGGCGTGAGCCCATCTTCTGGCTGAGTGGCGCTCCCCCTGTGGAAGCTCACTGACCACCGGGGGCAGCTCCTGTGTTGAGCGTCTGCCCCCTGGTGGTCAGTCTGCATCTTAACGTTCTGCCATAACGGTTGCCTAGGCTTTTATTATATAGATGTTTGTATACACCGACTTGATCACGGAGCCTTCCTGGACGTTATGATTTCCAAGCAGAGGTTTCATTCTGCGTCGATGCCATTTTAACTTTCTCATCAGCGGTCTGAAAAAGAGTATTCTCTCCCCTTCCCCCTTCCTTCCCCGTTTGCCTCTTCTGTTCCTTCCCCCGATGCTGCCTTCCTTCCGGCTTCCTCTCCTCCTTTTCTTTTCATCCCTCGGCCCTTCTTTTCCTCCCTTCGCCCTCCGTGTGGCCTCTCACCAGCGCGTGCCACAGCTCAGGTTGCCCGTGGACGGTGCGTCTGTATGAAACGCCAGCTCATGGCTCCTTCAGTTGATGTTTTGCTTAACTTTAGAGACTCTGGTGCTTCGCTGATCTGGGAAAAAATCGAAGAGCCGTCCATAGATTGCCACGAGTTCGAGGAGCTGTTTTCCAAAACCGCAGTGAAGGAGAGGAAGAAGCCGATTTCTGACACCATCTCGAAGACCAAGGCCAAGCAGGTGAGTACTTGGGTGTGTTTTCTCCCCGTGGCCAGCGTTTCGGGCCTCACTGTGACCTCTCATTAAAGGAGTTGCTTGGAGAGTTCATTCGTTACCTTATTCTGATCCTCGGTGGAAATCAAAAACTCATGCATGCAAAAGAGAAAGGAAGGATTTTTGCTCATTCGTGGAATCTAAATTCTATTTGGAGCAGGGGACGGGGACGTGTGTTCTCAACTCGCCTTCCCTCTGAGGTTCCGCACTCTGTTCCCTGCGTCCGTGTCTCTGATCCACTCCGTTCATCAGTTTTCGTTAATTAGATTCCACGACTGAGTGTGATCACGTGGTACTGGTCTTTCTCTGATTGGCTTATGTCACTTAGCATGTATGATCTGGAAACAGCCCAAGTGCCCATCGGTAGATGAGTGGATAAAAAAGCCGTGGTACATTTATGCCATGGAATACTATGCAGAAATAAAAAGAGAGAGAGAGAGAGAGAGAGAGGAGACTCTCTTAACCTTTAAGACAACATGGAGGGACCTGGAGAGTATCATGCTAAGTGAAAAGTCTATATATATTTAAAAATAAAACGCTCCCCCCACCCCATTCTCCAAAGCGTTTCTAGGTGCTTCTTGAATCATTTATTCTCATTGCTCAGTTTTCTTCCTGGCAACATGTTCCATATATTTTGTTCCCTTCCCCCCCCCCCCGCCCCCAGGAAATATCGTTCCCTGTGTTCTGTATTTACCATGAGTATCCTAACCCTTATGTTCCTGAGTCTCTTTCCTTTGCTTGTTCTCTTACCTAATGTGAAATCATAGGCCTCACTATGGACTTAAAAAGCCTGCTTTAGACATCTTTTTCATACACTTACAAACTTTTTTTTTTTAGCCAGACCACTGAGCTTCTAATGTTTCTAGAGGAACAAGTACCGCGCTCTTAACTGTCCTGAACATTTTAAAAAATATATATATTTTATTGATTTTTTTACAGAGAGGAAGGGAGAGGGATAGGGAGTTAGAAACACCGTTGAGAGAGAAACATCGATCAGCTGCCTCCTGCACACTCCCCACTGGGGATGTGCCCGCAACCAAGGTACATGCCCTTGACTGGAATCGAACCCGGGACCCTTGAGTCCGCAGGGCGACGCTCTAGCCACTGAGCCAAACCGGTCAGGGCTGTGCTGAACATTTTGCATTGTCCCATCGTCTGCACTCGTTTCTGTATTCCATGCTGAGACTCAATGAGCATTTCAGTCTCGCAGCCGGCATCGCATGCAGAATTATAGAATGGGTGTTCAACACATGACTCATTCCAAAATAGCAATTAATTTCTGGTTTGTTTTGGGTTGGCGCTCTTTTTTCTTCATCCAGCTTAATAAGTCATGCTTGCCACTCTCCGGCATGCTAGTATGCTTTCACAGATTTCACTGCCTGTTTTAATCGCCATGCTGCTCCCTGCGTGTAACAGTCTCCTATAGGTTTTTCTTTTCACGGGGCCACCCAGGACTTCATGGAACATGTTATTGTCTTCACTGTGTGGTCTTGCTGCTCTGCTCCTATATTTATTTTATCTTTTCCGCGTTTACTTCCACCAACATTGTATTTTTAAACTGTGATCGTTGTCAGTTTCTAGTGGTTTAGGTATTGCCCATGCTTTTTTTATTCACCCAACTTCCACGGACACTTAAGAAATGCGAGTTATTGGGAAACTGTTGCATAGGGGCCCAGCATCTTTTTAAGTGTTCGTCTCAAAGCACGCGGATCCATCTCTCTTGCTAAGAGTATTTTATTGAATTTTTTTTTTAATGACACAGAAGTCATTGAAAGGATGAACGTAGGATCTTTATATGAAGACTCTTGCTAAGGTTCACAGGAAAGCTGACAGTTGAAAAGATGTTTCTTATTCTAGAAAGCTCTATGTAGTCGTCTTGGACGAGGTCTCAGGATCCCTTATTACTTAGGGGTGATACCATACTATTCCACCCCTCCTCTTCCTGTATTTTCACACAAGGAGGTGCAGGGGGCGGATCCGAAATATTGGGCATTGATCTATTCCCAGGCCTGACAACCCAAGCGGGCCATTCCCGTGATGTGATCAGAAGTGGGTTTCTGACAACTATCGGGATACCTACCTGTGACGATCTGTGTCTTTCATGGTCTCTTTAAAGCAGCGGTTCTCCACCTGTGGGTCGCGACCCCTTTGGCGGCCGAACGACCCTTTCACAGGGGTCTCCTAAGACCATCCTGCATATCAGCTATTTACATGACGATTCATCACAGCAGCAACATGACAGTGATGACATAGCCACGCAAATAATTTTTTTAAAATATATTTTATTGATTTTTTACAGAGAGGAAGGGAGAGGAATAGAGAGTTAGAAACATCGATGTGAGAGAGAAACATGGATCAGCTGCCTCCTGCACACTCCCCACTGGGGATATGCCGGCAACCAAGGTACATGCCCTTGACCAGAATCGAACCTGGGACCTCTCAGTCCGCAGGCTGACGCTCTATCCACTGAGCCAAACCGGTCAGGGCCACGCAAATAATGTTATGGTTGGGTCACAACATGAGGAACTGTATTTAAAGGGCCAGAAGGCTGAGAACCGCTGCTTTAGAGCCTGGGGTGAGTCACCTTTTGGGGGGCTGAAGAGATGTGGGCAGGGATAGAATTGCTACCGTGCCTGAATTCATCCTCACCCCCCGCCCTGGGTCCTTTAATTAATAAGGCATCTTTAACGCATTGATAGCTGTGATCACCGGTTCATTACTTTTCATTCATTCCAGCCAGACTAGCCTTTAACCCATAGCGTTGGCTGGTTTTTCTAGGTGTGTGTGTGGGGGAGGGGGGGGCAGGAAAAAAAGGCGGATGACAACCATCCCCCCACCCTCGCCATGCTTCCTCCCTTCTTGCCGGTGACCCCAGTAAAGGGGAGGAAAAGGGCAGAGGGCCAAATTGTCCTCACTGGGCCACCCTTCTGTGAGGGAAGATTGCCAGTGTGTAGCGAACTTCCAGGAAAGGGGACCCCGTGGAGAAGAAAGGGGGCGAGGCCTTAGAAGGGGGAGTGAGTGCTTTGCATGTACGGACGCCAAGTGTGTCTCTTTCAGCCCCAGTCCGGCCTGAGTGTGCACGTGTGTTTCTCTGCTCCCCTAGAGACATACGTGACGCTTGCCATAATTGTGCTGCTGGAGAGCAATCGCATGCCTTCTGCTTTCGGTGTAGAAAAACCTTCTGTTGTTACCAGAAGGATATGTGCGTATCCATCTCCCCATAGATGAGTTCCCGTTAGAAATGGTGATGAGTCAGATGAGTATAATGCCTGTATTTCCGTGGCCCTCCTGAGGGAACTGGCTTATTCTCTTCTCCACGGGCTAGCTTCCTGGCCCCATTCCCCAGCCGTGTTTGTCAAAGCGATCGTACCGACTCCAATCAGCCTCTGTTCTGCCTCTACCTCAGTTACTAGCTTTTTGGCCTCCAGTTCAAAAATTGGAAAGGGGGGAAAAGAGGAAGCCTGCGATATTGCAAGAAATCAAGAATGGTTCCTGACTGTCCCAGGATTACCTCCCCACCGCCCCCTAAACAAAGCCTGGATGTCATTGTTACGTGACTAAATAGAGGGACTTCTAGGCTGTATCTGTCTGAGAGGAAGTTACAGCGTATTTTTAAAATCGCCATGATACTCATGAGCTTTCCTTTTAAAAGCATCTTTTCGCCCTCGCTGGTTTGGCTCAGTGGATAGAGCGTCAGCCTGTGGACTGAGGGTCCTGGGGTCTATTCCAGTCAAGGGCACATGTCCGGGTTTCCGGGTTCCATTCCCGGTGGGGGAGGGGGTGTGCAGGTGGCAGCTGATCGATGTTTCTCTCTCATCGATGTTTCTAACTCTCTATCTCTCTCCCTTCCTCTCTGTAAAAAAAAAATCAATAAAATATATATTTAAAAAAATTGCATGTGTAAGAATGCGTACAGTAGCACTGGTGGTAATACTTCTAAACTGAAAAACATTCCAAATATTCACCATGATAAAAATGGAAGAATAAATTGTGTTATAACGACACAGGGGAATAGTATACAGCAATGAAAAATAATCGTCTACCATTTTACTCAGCCATATTGGTGGATTTCCTAGACAAAGCCCAATATCAACAGTATGTGCCCACTTACCTGATGTTCAAGATCAGACAGCAGGACACTGTGTCAGTAGAAATCAGAATGGGACTTGGGGGGGAAGTATTGATAGGAGAGAGGTATGAATGGAGCCTTCAGGGATGCTAGTCATGTTTTGTTTAAGGATCCGCGTGATGATTACAAGCGTAGATACATAGGCAAAAATTAAACTATTTACTTGCGTTTTCTTCACTTTATTATAGCGGTAATTAAATATTTGTTGTAAACAATAACCGCTTTAGAAAAAACTATTATTGAAAAGCAATTTGATACTTTGGGACCATAGAGTTGGACGATATCTTTCAGGAGATGAGTACTGAATGATTTGCCTGTTGTTGGATGAGAATGTGCCAGAACGTACCCAGTTCGCACAGCGTCTGTCCCTTTAAATGGAATTGTTGAAGGAAGGAAAACGCCGGGCCTACAACCCTTGAAAATGGTGCCGCCGCAAAGAACGCCATTTGTCTTTAAAGACTTTAAAAAAAAATCACATATTGAAGCTTTTATTCCCTAAAAAATGAGCATCATAAATTAGATCACTGACAAGTCAATGTTTATTTCTCTTTTACTTCCAAACTCTAGGAGGTCTTTGGGAAACGCACCAGCTGCTTAGCCAATATGTCATTTCCAGAAATAGGTCGGAGCCTGGCAGGAAAGCTGGAACTGTGCTCCTCCGATGGGCAGGATCCAATGCAATTTTCACCCTCGTCGCGCTTCACAGTGCGACGAGCACCGTGCAGTTCAGTGGCTAGCGCCGGGAACCAAGCCCGTGTCTATAGAAGAGCCAAAGAAGTCACATCTGGCCAATGGCTAAGGGGCGGGAGGAGAAGCAGATGGCTGCATAGGGTACAAA